AGGCGACCGGGGTTAAGTGCGCAGCACTTCGGTGTAAATAAAAAACCGATTAGGGGTTTTTCCATGGTAGGGACACATGCATTATTAATACCAGTAATGCGGGGGTCTGCATAATTTATGGCCCTGCCGCACATGTGGCGCTGGATTGCACGTCTACTTCGTTAGATAGGAAGTTGTACTATTCTTCTCTCGACCTCAGGAAATAGAAGACAGAAACTGCGATCAAGATCTCTTTATTAAAACTCCTTTTGAATAGAGTATACTCAGTTTCGTACGTGGTTTTTAAAAGGAATAAGGGCATATTTCTTCACGGGACTCCATGATTATATCTGGAAAATCGGGATGACAAATAAGTAACTGTTGAAGTTTCTTGATTGCTACAATGAGGCAAGGCGAGACATTCGGGGACGTAAAAAACTCTCTTGTGAGAGATGATTCCTTGGGTAAAGGGAGAATAGGGAACTCTATAGGTCCCAAACTGAACTCTATGGGGCATATAGGATCCTATAGGATTCTGATAGGAATCCTATATATTCCTAAAGGAATATATAGGAATCCTACAAGACATTTTCGTAAGGGGGACCATATTATCCTGCAGAGGAGAAGAAAATGGGGGAAAATCAGAGGGAAGCTGGGACAGAGGATAAAACACCTTGAACTAGTGGATATTAATCCTAGTATTCAAATGAGTTCGACTCGCCTCGCCCCGCCAAAAAACCTGGTTTAATCCTGAATAATCCACGCTGTTTTAGCAGGAGTAAACCCTGTCGTGACATGCGTCTTTTACTGAACTTGGGGTATGCGGATATGTCTCTCTGCGTTGTCTAAAGCGTGTTTACAAGTTGAGTAAAAGGTTTATCCACAAATTTATCCACGCTTTCTGCTGCGAACCGGATGCATCCTGACTTCTCTAACGTATTCTCTGCATATTTTGACCCTTTCAGCAATCCAAAGTTATTAATCGATGAAATTTTAAGATCGTTTTGGTTGTCCTTTTAAATTGCACCGTTAGGGTAAAGCAAAGAAATGTTATTCCCAACTGTACATATTGACCTTCAGAGGGGCGTCCTTGAGATGCAGCCACGAATCGCCCACACGAAAGAAAATCGATCGGTCGAGAAACTCTGAAATCCGGAAAACACCACGAAACGAGTGGCAGGTGGTGAAGGGCCAGGTGGAAAGTCGCAGGTCGGGGGCCCCCAAGGTCGCAGGTCGGGGGGCCCCCAAGGTCACTGGGCGGGGGCCCCCAAGGTCACTGTTAGCACTCTCCGCTGCCGACGGCGTAAACGTCCTTCGCACTCGATGACGAAGACAACACACTCTGAAAGAGAGAGAGGGCATTCGATCCATGAAGAAAGCGCCAGAAAACATGTCAGTTAATGCCGATTTCCCTCTGCAGATGTCAGTTCGCGCAGCAGCGGTCCAGCGCTCGAGCGGTCTCTGTCTCACATCCCTCGCGGCTTTCGAATATCCGCAGCTGCTTTGTCACTCCTCCTTTATTACCCCTACGTAACTCCTTCGTAACTCGCTGGAGACGATCGAGCGAATCTCCGATGGGAGGAAATTGCAGCGTCAGCGACCCGAGATAAAACCGGCTTTTGTCCTCCCTTTGCTCATCCTTCCGGACACTCCTTCTACATCTCGTGCATGGCACTCTGGATTAGTCCCAGCCCCATTCCGGCGTCTCCTCACGGTCACATTAATTTTTTTAATTATCGTTTTCTCCATCCGTGACCGTATTGCGGCAATGGGACTTACAATACTCAACTCATGAATTAATTGACACACGGTCGTGTGCTAATTTGAACTATGTCTAATTAGCACACCTCGTTAGAATACATTGAGTTTCCTGAGCCATTTCTCTTGGCGCAGGCCGATTTTCCTTCAATTTTTAGCATGACCCTTGAGGAGAAGGAACTTCTAATTTTTTTTAATAGAGATTATCCGTGGATTATTTCGGATTTTGCTCCTCCGAGGGCTCTCAGAGGCGAAAACGAGAAGGTGGATTTTTGCCCCGAGAAGTCTTGAAGAATGCGCCAATTCCAGCAGAAATGGCAACAAAGAGCTCGTGACGCAATTTCTTCTCACGCGACAGCGAATTCGTTTCACATTGGGAATTTTCGTCGGCTGTGCAAATTTTCGTCGGCTGTGCAAATTTTCGTCGGCTGTGCAAATTTTCGTCGGCTGTGAAAATTTCCGTCGGCTGAGCAAATTTTCGTCGGTTGTGCAAATTTTCGTCGGCTGTGCAAATTTTCGTCGGCTGTGCAAATTTTCGTCGGCTGTGCAAATTTGCGCCAGCTGTGCAGACCTTTCACATCCTAACCGGATTGAGTGATGTCGACGACAGTCTGGCCTATACTTCGTCTCAATGTCAATTAGAAAGCAGTCTAAAGGACAAATCTGAAGCCAAATCTAAATTAATTTTAAATGGAACATTTTAAAATTTAATTACATCACTTACATTGTTTTCTGCTTTTCGACTTTTTACAAAAAAGTTCTGAAAACTCTAGAATCGCCCGCAAGCAGTTCGAGGCCCCCTCGATTGAAGTCCTCGATTGAATTCTGCCGACACCGCCGAAATCGACGATCGCCAGGATCCGCCTGGGAAAATATCGCATTCGATCACTGCTCCCTTTAAACAAAATTAGCAAAAGCAAAAAAAAAAAACTACTCCGAACGAAAGTGCAAAAACGCGAAGGATGTGAATTTCTCTTTCGAGCCGATGCGATCGCTTCGAGTCGTTTTGCGTCCATGAGCATTGATATGCGCTTGGAGCAGCAAGAAAATGTCCCTGGAGAATAGATACTTAATTAATAATTCAAGAATCCTTAGAACAATTTTTCCCTCTTGAAAGCTATTTTTCCTCCTTAGAGCTACTTTATTTTTAGTCTAGAACCATGTAGTTTTGTGCCAAATATTAGACCGGAATTTTGTTCCGGAATTTCATTGAGAACTTCCGGAAATCGTAATGGACTATGGATTGCGTCATTCCTACCGAAACTCACCGGATGAATCATGATCTCCAGCGAATTTGCTGAATAGCTGAATGAATTTGCTGACAATTCGCGGGGTCTCGAAGACGATCTCGCTGGGAGATTGTGCCAAAAAAAAATATTCCCAGAACGAGGGAATCTTAGAAAGTGATTTAGCATGCAGATTCGAGTTTGCCATCCGAGCCTCCACGGAAGGCAGGGAGTATTTTTTTTATAATAATTAAAATCAAATTCTCATCTTTCGCCGGCTTGTCCCGTAACCTGGAGATCCCGGTGTATTTTCATCGAGACAGTAATTAGGTAATTAAAGTGTAACGATTTGTCCTTGTAACTATTTGCCCTTCCCCTTAGCGATCCTTTTTGCATTTTGCATTTTTTTTCTCAAGAAAATGAAATAAATTGAAATTAGTTTCCATCCTTTCTTCAGCGCAGTTCTTTTAAATCTTGATTTGAGAATGCCCTTTTTTTTACTATAAATTATCAGATATCAGGTACATATATTTTTCACATTCGAACTAAATTCTAGCTCACCTTTCCACCGGATTCCTTGAAGGGAGTCTCCTTCCCCGCCCCACACTCTGAACCCGGAACAGAAAAAGAGGGGAGAAAAAAAATTAAATCGCGAGGTCGATGAGACTCGCAGATAATCGCATGGAGATCATCCCATGCGAGATTCATGCGTTCAGGAATCATCAGCATACACGTGATCTCATGAATTAAATAATACCTCTTACCATCGTTTCCTGAAAATCGGAGAAACCCCGTAGATGTTTTTCCCCCTTTCCCTCGCGGCACGTGGCAGCCCCGTATAACTCCAATTATGCAAATGACGAGGCCCTGTCCCTCATCCGGATTATCCCCGTCGTAAGCAGTTCTCCATGCATGATAATTTGCTTCATCGCGCGTCCTGATCCCGAGGGCATTATGGAAATACCCCGATCTCCATCAGATTCGATTTTCCTTTCGCTCTGGCCTTAACTTTTACCTCGCACCTTCTCCTCCGGTTCCCGCCCACCCTTGAATTTTATTGTATATATACGATTTATTGGAATTTATTGGAATAAATTATTGGAAGGCACAGTGAGGGCCGACGCATGCTGGAAAATTTAGAGGTAGAAGTTCATCTATTTGATTTTCGGTTTCTGAAAGTTCAATTTTCGGGAGAGCAAGAGGGCCGAGAGATTTGCAATTATTATTTTATTTCCTATTCTACTCATCGAGAAAATCTTATAAAACTTAAATTAATGTTAAACATTATTCTACGCTGAGAAAATCACTTGTCACACGTGTGTTTCGCTTGAATGCACATATGAATATTGACGGGAAGGCCACGTCTAAAAAAAAGTGATATTCTTACCGTTCTCTGGGGGCGGATCCTGTTTTTTCTTGAGGGCATCGAGGAGCAGCTGGATCAGCTGATTATCGTCCAGAACTCCAGGAGTGGGATCTCCCTCTCGAGAGTCTTTCTTCCTGGAGATGCGGATGACGGCCTCCCCATTCTCCTTGCAATTGACCGTGATGTAATCATCCTCATCCGTCGGGGGATCCTCCTCCGTCCTCCTCCTCCTCCCTTCCCCCCCTCTCTTTCCCGCGGAACTGTCGGCGATCTGCTGGCGCTCCGCGAATCGCACCGTCCTCTCGGCGTGACTGCGGCTGTGACGCTCCTTGAAGCTGTTCGCGTTCGAGTTGGTGTCGCTGAAACTCGCTTCGCTGTGGTAGCTTCGGAATCGGGACAGTATCCGATCCTAACGAGAGGAGGTGCCTGGTTTACTTTAATGCACATGTGGCACTGTGGACGATGAGAACAGATCTAGCGTAAACCTGTGACAGTTATCGGTTAACTGGATTCAGTTCCTGAATGGTTTGGGGCTTCCGACTCCATTTCAGCCTTTCAAGCCTCCCCTAACACAACGTCCCCTGCATCCACCTGGCTGAACAACCGGATGGATAGGGGGTGGATTTTGAACCAAGCAAACATCCCACCCAGTGGAAATTCACTTAGCCATTTGCACAAATGTATTTCGAGCCATATGGATTTTCACTCCGGAGTGGATTTTCCGCCAGGAGGACATCGCTCCAAAAGGTGGAAATACAGGGGAACATCCACTTGGCTCGAAATCCACATGGGAGGCAGACGGTTCGTAAGGGTCGTGAAGTACTGTAAAGAAGCATCCACGTCTGAGGGAATGTGATTAATTGCGGTGTCTATGCCAAGCAGGTATCCCTTTCTTCTCCTAGTATCGTAATAAGTTCGTCGCAAGTCTCGTTTTTTAAATAAATAATTTAATCACTGCATGTTCTCCAAATATAAATGAAAGACTAAAAAGTAATAAATAAGAGTAAAATACGTTACCAAGAGAAGCTCTCGAATATTCTTCTCACATGAGCATTTTTTAAAGCAGCGTTAGCTATTTTTTAAATTTCAAGTGATGAATTTTTTATTCCCTGTACCAGTTGAATCAGTAATGAGGCAGTTTCAACACATATACTCGTGATGAAGCCAAGAGATTATTGATCACAATGAAAGCTGAAGTATTCCTGCACCTTTCATTTTTTCGATGAAGACGTAAACCAAATTCGGAATTCATAGGGTACTTAAAAGCTCCATCTTTCGGAGGATTTGGTCAACTTCAGTGATTTGGCCTCCCAATATCGGGATACTTGGCGTCATAGCTGTACATTCAATCTTTGTTTCATCTCTGTCCTTAATCCCATTCCGAGAAGCCCATCCATTCATTCATTCCCTCCGTTGTCAATTCCTTTGATCAGCACGGCTATGGCCCAGCAAAGCCCTCGCCAAGAGAGGCCTCCTTGCCCAGTTCCAGGAACGAGGCAAGAAGGCGATACGTTCCGGGTAATCATCTGGAGTGCGCCTCTCGCCTCGGCTAGGGTTGCGTCCCCCTCTCGGGGCGTCCGATCTGATCGGCGACGAGCTTTGATGTTGAAACGCTTCGAAGAGTAATCGAAATGAGGGAGTTCATCGTTGGACAGTGATCGAAAAGGTTTTCAAGACATTTGTGAATTTCCCTTTGAAGGAAATATGAATCCAAGGGAAAGAAAAGGTATAGAAGTTTATAAACTTCGTGAATATGAATAATGCTGGGTGTTTCAAAAAGAGTTAACGCTGAAAGAATCGATTTTTCTGCTATTGAACCATTCTCTCAATAGGAAGACCAGTCGATTTCATGATTCACTGCAAGAAATGCTTATAAGAAATTGCATGCTTATCGCTCTCCTCCTTTGTGCTGCAATTACGATATGGACAGTGGATTGATGATGTGAATGTGATCGATGTGAGTACCGTTAGCATTGATGTAAATAGCATGTATTAATGGAAACATGGCTTTGCTTACGGTGTTGACAGAAGAGGAGTCGCGAGAAAATCGCCTGGCGTTGCTGCGCTGAAGGCCACACGCATCAGAGGACGTGGATGGAAACACTTCCTTCCCCTCCTCGCTCATGTTCGCGCTCAGGATGTTGATGAGCCTCCGCTTGAGGTTATAGCGGAACGCCGGGTGGGAGATCCCGTACACGATGGGGTTGTAGACGACGGACGCTTTGGCGAAGACGACCGGAGCGGCCGAGGCCCAGGGGGTGATCAGCTCGATGTCCCCGAATATGGCGATGAAGCTGATGATCGTGTACGGGGTCCAGGACATCAGAAATAGGACGATGAGTACGAATATAATCTTGGCCACCCGGAATTCAGTGCGTTTTCGAGTTTCCCGTATGGGCACGTTCCCGTTTTCCATAGTCTCTCCCACCTCCCTTTGAAGACGAAAACATTGTTGCATGGCATGTTCAAGATAAATTTTGTACGATAGAAACGTCCATTAGGATATTTAAAAAATTCAACGGATAAAGGTCTCGTATTATATTCTTCGCATGAAATGCAACCGATAGTTTTCGCCGGCAAAACTCTACAATGTTCAAATGCAGCTAAAACTATACTTGTTAGGAGGAAGAAAAGCCAGCCTTCTCGGCAACGCGATCTTAATCTGCTCGTATAGCATGTGTATTCATTCTCACAAACATTTCATGTTGCTTCATATTTATTATCTTCAAACGTAAGTTCTCATTTCCTAAATCCGATCTTAAAGAAATGTCCATGCAAAATATAAAAAAACACGGCTTTCCATAGTTTCTGAGAATTTTGGAATAATAAGCTATATGATACTATTTCATTGATACGATCTACTGGCTAACAAACTCGCTAAGGTCACACCTTCAACGCTCGACGATCTAAGAAAATGTCTAATTCATTTGAAATATTCGTTTTTTACCAATGCAATGCAATAAAGTTCATTTAGTGAAAGGTAGTTTTAATTTTTGCTGTCAGGTTATTTTACGTTATAAGACGTCATTGGCAAGCTAATGAAGATCCATATTTTCCATATTATCTCTTCAGCATATTTTCGCTTTCTAGTGTTGCCCGGATAGGCGTGGGGGGGGGGGGGAATCTCTCGGAAATGCACCCATCACATAAAAATTCATGAATTGGACCTCAAAAGCGGGACTTTTCTTAAAATCATATTTCCTAGAAATCCTTATTTTCAATAGGTGTATTTCATCTTCTTTTATCTGCCTGTTTAATGGAACAGAAAAAAAGATAGGAAAATGTCTCCTCAAAAAATGTAATCTCAAAAAGGAGATATCACGAACTGGGATCGTTCTTTCTTAAATATGCTTCTCGACTACTTCGGTATATATTTCGTTTTCAATGTCTTTCCATTTTGTGGAAGCGAAACATTTTTTGGTATGCGTCCGCTTCTAAGAAAGGGCGAAGAGGGGATGTGCCTCAAAAGCATACAAATTTATCCAATCAGTGCCAATAAACCTGCAGAATTATGAAATATCAGCTATCTATATTCCTACGTTGCAGTTTCCTGATGCGAGAATGTCTTTGGAGAAGATTCGCACCAACTAATTTGCCCTTAAGGGATAAACCTCGCAAGCAAAAAGCTTTACTAATATCAGTATATGGGTCATTCCATAGCACTCAGACAGTGCGCTCGACTGTCTTGGATTTCGCGGTAAAAATTCTCAGCGATAACAGTCAATTTAACAACCCCTCTATAAGAAAAGTATCATCTTCATCAGGTCTGCGTTAAGCGAGATATCGCCCTCCGAACTATGGGGGGAACGGAAAAACCTCGATTTTGAGCTTGGTACGGGATGCGGATCAACTCTATTGGACCGACCCGACCCACGGATTGCGGAGGCAGCTCGGTTGGCAATCAAGATTCTTGTTTGTTGCAGGCGAATACGCTGCGAGATGCGGGCCGGCCCGATCGGCCCAACATTACCCGCCCGGGGAGGGGGGGGGGGGGGGGGGGGGGGGGGGGGGGGGGGGGGGGGGGGGG